ATCACCTCAGAAATTAATTTTAAATTTTGATCTAGAAGAAGTTAAATAATAAAGTGAATTGATGAGAGATTCGAAATGCCAAAAAAATAAATGCTCAACAGTTCTAGAGACATATTTTAGTCAATTCAGAAATATAATGCACCGATTTTAGAGACCAATTTCTTCCCAGGTGTTGCAAAAGCATCCAATGTACTTAAATACCCGCTAACTTGGGAGCAGGATAAGAGAGAGAGAGAGAGAGAGAGAGTAAGATGTTAATTGCAAATTGCAACAAGTTGATGCTGCCTTAATGTACGCCAAACCCTGGGGTGTTGCGCACGAGCCAAACTTTGCAGAACCATTAAGAATTTGGGAAAATTACTGTAGAGTCCCACAGAAGACAATTTACTACCAGAAGGTCCCATGAAATCCCCAAATTCCTCATAAGTCCCCAGGGACCTCTGGGTAAATAATTTGAGTTGTGATATTACGTACTTGCCCTCAGTCATTGATAAAGGAAAGAAAAGAGGGAGAGACGCTGATTGGCTTCATTTAGTGCGGTTGTTTGTTATGCATGCACAAGGAAGAGAAGCTTCTGAAAGAAAGAAGGGAGTTATGCGCTGGTACTCCATCGCAGGCAAGCGACATTATTTCTTCATCTTCTTGGTACGTCTCATCATTAACAACATTTCTCTTCTTCTGTACACAACCAGTGTCAAGTTTAATGTTGGTCTGAAAAGTTGATTGTGTGTTGATATGTGGGTATTAAAGATGTGATTCAACTCACTAGAAATATTAAGGGAGGCTCATTTTAGTCATATGTGGTTTTAATCATGTTAGGTGTGGTTTTACTATGTGTGGCTAGGGTTAGAAAGCAATGCTCTGTTTTTCGGTGAATGAGGCTCTGTTTTTGGTCACTGATGCTGTGTTGCTGATGAAGATGAGTGGAAAATAACATATATTTATTATTGTAACCCCTCAAATGCGATGGTTAAATGTGTTGTTAATGGGTACATCGAAGGTTGTTAACATAACTGTATGACTTGTTATTAACAACCAGTCGCAGCTTTAATGCTGGTCTGAAAAGTTGATTGGGTGTTTATACGTTGGTATTAAGCATGTGATTCAGCTCTCTAGAAATATCAAGGGAGGCTCATTTTAGTCATATGTGGTTTTAATCATGTTAGGTGTGGTTTTACTATGTGTGGCTATGGTTAGAAAGCAATGCTCTGTTTTTCGGGCAATGATGCTGTGTTGCTGATGGAAATGAGTGGAAAATAACAGATATTTATTATTGTAACCCCTCAAATGCGATGGTTAAATGTGTTGTTAATGGGTACATCGAAGGTTGTTAACATAACTGTATGACTTGTTATTAACAAGTGATTGTGGCAGGTTGATATCCAGGATGGCAACTTCCAGTGCAAAGCAATTGTTTTGCTACCTCCATATAGGAGGACAATTTATTAATGGTGTAGAAGGTGAAACGCAGTATGTTGGAGGTGGTGTGAGAACAAGAATGATAAAGGAAGGGACATCATATGGAGAATTTAGAACAATGGTGGCATCAATTGTGGGAAAAGAAAGTAATGGAATGGTTATGAAATTCACAGTAACCTTTGATGAGTGTACATTTGTGGACCTTGTAGATGATGAAGGAGTAGAACATTTGATTAACTTCAATGGCGACAGTGGTCATGTATATATAGGAGAAAATGGAGATCAAAATTCACAACTAACAAGGGATGTTGTAATAGAAGAGCAACATGTGTAAGTTGTGTTATTTAAATTTCGAAGTAATATTAGCTATTGTCAACTGTTGTGCATAAGTTGTTATTATAGTGATCGAAGGTTGTCATTAACGACCCCTTGACCTGTTCTGTTATGTAGGATGGAAGACTTGTTCGGAGGTTCAGATACATTGTCCATGTCTCCACCTAATGTGGTTAGTGAAGACCCACTATTGTTGCCATGTGGTTCAGAAATGATGCCAACCCCAATTCCGGAAATGAATTCAACAAAGTGGAAGGGTTTGGTTATCGGAGAAGGACAGATTTTTCCTAATGCAGTGGCTCTTAGGCAAGCACTGTATAGGTACAGTATTGCTGTGAAGTTTTCATACAAGTTTGTGAAGAACAATCAACAAAAGATCATTGTGAAGTGTATGGCGGAGGGATGCCCGTGGTATATGGGTGCATACTCAATGGGACAAAGACAAGATTCTGAGTTGTTAATAATTAGAACCTTAAGAAGTGAGCATGTGCATTATGCACAGGACAGCTTGGTTGTATCTCACTCTAGAGGGTCAAACTTAACATCATCAATCATGATAGATTCTTTGAGGTGTAATATAGACAAGAATGCTAATGAAATTAGAAGAGATCTGTATAGAGAATATGGGGTGCGACTGAATTATAGTCAAGCATACAGGGGTAGAGAAAGAGCATTGAGGGAAATACATGGTCGTGCACAGGATTCATACATGGCGATTCCCTGGATTTGTGAAAGGCTCATTGAAACTGATCCAAACACAAGTGCTCGATGGGAAGGGTTGGATAGTAACAGATTTCAGAGGGTGTTCATTGCTTATGGATGCTCAATTAATGGATTTTTAGAAGGGTGTCGACATATACTTTATATAGACGGCTGTCATCTAAGTGGTCCTTACAGGGGGACATTGATTTCAGCTAATGCATATGATGCAGACAATGAACTATTTCCATTAGCATATGCTATAGTTAGTGGGGAGACATATGATGATTGGGCTTGGTTTCTCCAGAACGTCAAAGACATCACAAGATCAGTGGAGACAACGATAGTTTCAGATCGGAATAATGCCATTATAGGTGCTGTGCGAACAATATTTGGTGGCGAGAGACATGCTTTTTGTTATAGGCATGTGAAAGAAAATTTTAGTGCACATTATTTAAAAATTAACCGAGGCAGGGGACGAGTTTCAGGTACTTCAAAGGACGTTGCATTGAAAATGCTGGATGGAATCGCCTATGCAAGGATTGAGGATGAATATGTTGCTGCAATGGGGAAACTTAGATCATTCTGTCCACAATTGGCTGATTGGGTTGACACTCAAGGAGATGTAGATCGGTGGGCTTTAAGCAAATTCCCGTTTAAACGATAGGATAACATCACCACTAATGTTGCGGAGTCGTTTAATGCCTGGATTTTGAAGGAGAGGAAGCACAATGTGTCAGTTCTCATACATGAGCATATGGAGAAATTAGCCAAGAAGATGGTTGCAAGCAAAATGGCAATGGAAAATTGGACAAATGGCGTTGGGCCAAATATTGAGTCCAAGTTGCAAGAAAAAGTAGCAAGAGCGGAGAATATGCATACTGTATATTATGGAGATAACCGAGTTCAAGTTGATACTACATCTCCTACTGGAATAATTTGTGTCACTGTTGATCTCACAGCTCAGAAATGCACTTGTTTAGCATGGCAAATGAGCGGAGTACCTTGTGCTCATGCCTGTGCAGCGATAAAGCTACTTCATGGTAGTGTTTATGAATTTGTAGATGATTGCTATAAGCTGTCAGCCCAAGAGAAGATATATGCAAGTAGTATGAGGCCAATTGCGACACATGATTGTCCTCGTCCCGAAGCTCTCACCGTTACGCAGATGATGACGGGAACATTTTTACAGCCACCAATCACTAAAAGACCCTCAGGGAGGCCAAAGAAAAGAAGGATTGAATCTCAATTTCAAAGTAAAAAACTTTACCACTGTGGAAGATGCCATGAGCCAGGCCACACTGTGAAGACTTGCCAGAACCCCAATCCAAGTTGAGCTTTGCTGGTGGCTTGTTGATATTTCGTTTTGTGAATGCTTGTGACAGCATTTTTTTTGTAAATGTCATAACCTACACCTCAAGTTGTCCGTCATTATCCACACATGCAACACGTATGCTTTTTTGAATAGGTTGTAAATTTGGTGTAGTTATGTTGTACATATATATATCAAGTGGTAAATGACACCTGGTTGTAATCTGATATAACATCATTTCTGTATTTTTGATGTACTGGTGAATAGGTTGTAATGGACTTGTTATCAGACGCCATGCAGGTTGTCATTAGCAGTCTCAATTATGTTACTGATATAAAGTGACAATTTCTCCTACTTCCAGTGTTCAGTGATTTCTTAAGACATTCGAGCTGTGTTAAAGTCATAATATGATATGATTTGGTTAGAATTAGATCTCATGTGGAGGTTGTGGTATCCCCAGCGTCAGTTGTCAGGGGCAATGCGAAGGTTGTTAACCAATTCTGTTCGGGTTGTCAACAATCCCTGTTGAGGTTGTAAATGAATTGCTGCAATAAAAATCTGCTGTAATATGATTTGGTTCTTTTAAAGCTGTTAATGACTTTAAAATGCTCCCAATTTTTGCTATTAAGGTCGTTATATGTGCTCATAATATAATTAAGTTAACAGCTGTGTTATACCCCGAGTGAGTTGTAAGGGCACTGCCAATGTTGTTAATCATTTCTGTTACGGTTGTGAACAACCCCTGTTGAGGTTGTAAACAGATGTGGCAGAGAGGACTCTGATATATGCCTATCATGTCACCATGGTTACCATTTGTTTATCCAGTCTTATTCAGTCTGCATTTGTGGCCATGATGAAAACACATGAATGCCTTTACAAAAACTTGATAACCAGTAAAGGATATCAAAACACATTAACATATCTTAACATCCAGGATTCATACATGCTCAAAGAAAAGAATAAAATGTGAACTTGACGTTCAGATGTCACTATGCTGTCAAATAAATAAATGTAAATACAATATATGCTTGTCATTTATTTCTTCCTCTTGCTTTGGGGGTTTCCTCGCAGCAAAGACAGCACTTCATCGCCATGCAGGTTGTTCCGATGAGTCACGAGCCACCACAAGCATCCAACCTTCAAGTCATGGATTTCTTCAGGGGAGTACTTAGGCATTGTGTAGCCATCGTCACCATACTCAGTGCCGTCCCATGTTTGTAACCAGCTCAACACATGAACCCCACAAGAGTCCCTACAAAGGAAAAACAAGTACTTTAGTGAATGAACATTAGCTCCCAAAAGTTGAGACACAAGTACTTGTTGTGCTGAAAAATAACTCACGTGTCAGATTGCACATGAACTTTTGCCCATGTGACTTCCTCGTCAATCTTGTCCTCCTCCGCAAACAGTGATGGCTTCAGCACACGAAGCACTTGGCAGAAACAATCTCTCTGCAAAAAAGGGACAAACAGAAGAAACAAGTTTGACAGTTGTGAATGACAAGTTATCAGGAAGCATTAACAACCTTCGCTGTAGCCAATGACAAGTAATCAGCAGGCATTAACAACCAGGACAGTTAAGCAGACAACCAACCATAACGCATTAACAAGTTATAGAATGAATGTAAAGTTGTGCATACAATCCCTCTCGCCATGAATTGCTTAGGATCTATCTGTCCTCTCTTTTTCCCTTGCTTCCTTTGTGGTTTCTTCCCTATTTTCATTGCTTCTTCTTCCTCTCTTTGTAATCTCAACATCGTCAAATTGTCCACCAACGAGTCAAGGGCATAGAAACGCATGGTTCTTACATCCATCACGTAACAGAACCAATGGTAATTGAAAAGGGTGGGGCCAAATATGAAGTCACAGTCTCCAATGTTATATCCTATGTGCTCCGGTAAGATTTCATGTTCATGTTTTTCCAGGCTCCACCTAAGAGGATTAGCGGCCATTGTTTGCATTAACTCAGGTGAAAAAATGTGCCTACTGACATGACCGTGGTTCTCTTTTTCATCTCCCACCAAGGTTCTCGCCACCATAGACATGAACTATATCACACATACAAACAGTTAGTCATGATCATAATGACATTCGCAGTTCTCTATCCATATAAACAACTGTCTTACCCTGTCGTTCATCTATTTCCTGTCTTGTAGGCAGCAAAGCTCAGCACGTGTCAAGAAGTACCCATACATCTCTACAATGTACCTGCAGCAAAAGGAACAATGAGCACAAGGGTTGTATGTGTAAAATTGTTGTCAGTCAGTTGTCCCAATTACAATCAGTCCCAACACTTACTTGGCACCTTCATCTTGATCACATCTTCTCGTGCACATCTGGAATAATTCCTCTTTCTCGTCAGCTTTTCTCTTGCCACGGCCTTTTTTCACCTCCTCTAACCAGGGAGATTTGATTGCACGGCTTCTCACCCGTGTTGATCTTCTTACATCCATTTGCCCTTGTGCTTGCTGGTCCATTTCATCCTTTCCCTCCATTTCATCGCCTACACCCTTATCCTCTTCTGCTGCTGCATCACTAGACTTGTCTTGTGTTTTTTTTCTCCATCATCCTCTGATCCAGAGTGACTCCCTTCTCCTTTCTCCTCAGGTTGAGATTGACTCTCTTCTTCACGCGAAGCACTTTTGCCCTCTTCTTTATCATCTCCTTCTGGTTCACTCTGTTGTTCCTCTTGTGACAAAATTGAATCTTTTGGGCTTCCTTTACCTTCTTCACCGGTTTCTTCATCTTCAGTTGCCTTCTCTTTGTCATCTTCGCTACTTACTGCTTCCACCACATCTTCCTTGTCAATCTCATCCGTCAACCTCAACTGTAGGGAAACCAACTCTTCTCCAATTGTCGACACCAACCCTTCAACCATGGTCATCAACCTTTCATACGTTCTCTTGATTTCCTGCAAAACAACAGTAATGAAAGTTATCATTACTCCAAATTCTACACAGCACCAAAATAAGCTTCACATGATTTACTTACAGGGTGGGTTAGCTTTATTCCTGTGTTGGATGCACTTGTTGAAGCCCCACCGACACTCGAAACGCCATGCAGTATGCCTCTGTCGCTATTCTTTTCTGATTTCACTCTTGCCTTCACTTTTTCCTCATCCCAATAAGTAATGGCATTTTCATTTTTTGCCGCCTTTTCTTTTCCGAGAGGAAAGTGTTGTAGGCAATAAATCTGCATGTGAAGTTAATGATAACTTAGATATACAACAACAACAACATCCAAACAGGCCACTGACAACATAAACAGCGGAAAATCACAACCTACACACTGCCCAATAACAACATACACAGTGACCAATCACCACCTACACATAGGCGTATCACAACCTACATTTGCGCTATTCACATTCACAACATGTACAGCAGCCAGTGACAACCCATAGTCAACCGAATGACAACACGAACAGACTGCAATTACAACCTATACATAACCAGTTGACAAACCAACACAGCCCAATGACAACCTGCACACAGGCAATAACAACCTCCACACCAGCCAGTCACAACATATCCATAACCAGTTCACAGCGTACATTTCTCCAACTGACGACATAGAGTAGTAAATAACAACATACACAGTGACCAATCACCACCTACACATAAGCGTATCACAACCTACATTTGCGCTATTCACAACATGTACAGCAGCCAGTGACAACCCATACTCACCAGAATGACAACAGGAACAGACTGCAATTACAACCTATACATAACAAGGTGACAAGCCAACACAGCCAAATGACAACCTGCACACAGGACAATAACAACCTCCACACCATCCACTCACAACATATACATAACCAGTTCATAGCGTACATTTCCCCAACTGGACGACATAGAGTAGTAAATAACAACATACACACTGTCCAATCACAACCTACACATAAGCCTGTCACAACATACATTTGCGCCATTCACAACATGTACAGCATCCAGTGACAACCCATACTCACCAGAATGACAACACGAACAGACTGCAATTACAACCTATACATAACCAGGTGACAAACCAACACAGCCAAATGACAACCTGCACACAGGACAATAACAACCTCCACACCATCCACTCACAACATATACATAACCAGTTCACAGCGTACATTTCCCCAACTGGACGACATAGAGTAGTAAATAACAACATACACACTGTCCAATCACAACCTACACATAAGCCTGTCACAACATACATTTGCGCCATTCACAACATGTACAGCATCCAGTGACAACCCATACTCACCCGAATGACAACACGAACAGACTGTAATTACAACCTATACATAACCATGTGACAAACCAACACATCCTAATGACAACCTGCACACAGGTCAATAACAACCTTCACACCATCCACTCACAACATATACATAACCAGTTCACAGCGTACATTTCCCCAACTGGACGACATAGAGAAGTAAATAACAACATACACACTGTCCAATCACAACCTACACATAAGCCTGTCACAATATACATTTGTGCCATTCACAACATGTACAGCATCCAGTGACAACCCATACTCACCCAAATGACAACACGAACAGACTGCAATTACAACCTATACATAACCAAGTGACAAACCAACACAGCCAAATGACAACCTGCACACAGGACAATAACAACCTCCACACCATCCACTCACAACATATACATAACCAGTTCACAGCGTACATTTCCCCAACTGGACGACATAGAGTAGTAAATAACAACATACACACTGTCCAATCACAACCTACACATAAGCCTGTCACAACATACATTTGCGCCATTCACAACATGTACAGCATCCAGTGACAACCCATACTCACCAGAATGACAACACGAACAGACTGAAATTACAACCTATACATAACCAGGTGACAAACCAACACAGCCCAATGACAACCTGCACATAGGACAATAACAACCTCCACACCATCCACTCACAACATATACATAACCAGTTCACAGCGTACATTTCCCCAACTGACGACATAGAGTAGTAAATAACAACATACATAGTGTCCAATCACAACCTACACATAAGCCTGTCACAACATACATTTGCGCCATTCACAACATGTACAGCATCCAGTGACAACCCATACTCACCCGAATGACAACACGAACAGACTGTAATTACAACCTATACATAACCATGTGACAAACCAACACATCCTAATGACAACCTGCACACAGGTCAATAACAACCTTCACACCATCCACTCACAACATATACATAACCAGTTCACAGCGTACATTTCCCCAACTGGACGACATAGAGAAGTAAATAACAACATACACACTGTCCAATCACAACCTACACATAAGCCTGTCACAATATACATTTGTGCCATTCACAACATGTACAGCATCCAGTGACAACCCATACTCACCCAAATGACAACACGAACAGACTGCAATTACAACCTATACATAACCAAGTGACAAACCAACACAGCCAAATGACAACCTGCACACAGGACAATAACAACCTCCACACCATCCACTCACAACATATACATAACCAGTTCACAGCGTACATTTCCCCAACTGGACGACATAGAGTAGTAAATAACAACATACACACTGTCCAATCACAACCTACACATAAGCCTGTCACAACATACATTTGCGCCATTCACAACATGTACAGCATCCAGTGACAACCCATACTCACCAGAATGACAACACGAACAGACTGAAATTACAACCTATACATAACCAGGTGACAAACCAACACAGCCCAATGACAACCTGCACATAGGACAATAACAACCTCCACACCATCCACTCACAACATATACATAACCAGTTCACAGCGTACATTTCCCCAACTGACGACATAGAGTAGTAAATAACAACATACATAGTGTCCAATCACAACCTACACATAAGCCTGTCACAACATACATTTGCGCCATTCACAACATGTACAGCATCCAGTGACAACCCATACTCACCCGAATGACAACACGAACAGACTGTAATTACAACCTATACATAACCATGTGACAAACCAACACATCCTAATGACAACCTGCACACAGGTCAATAACAACCTTCACACCATCCACTCACAACATATACATAACCAGTTCACAGCGTACATTTCCCCAACTGGACGACATAGAGAAGTAAATAACAACATACACACTGTCCAATCACAACCTACACATAAGCCTGTCACAATATACATTTACGCCATTCACAACATGTACAGCATCCAATGACAACCCATACTCACCCAAATGACAACACGAACAGACTGCAATTACAATCTATACATAACCAGGTGACAAACCAACACAGGCCATGACCTGAGTAGCTGCCACTAACAACCCACGTTAAACCAAATGACAATATGCACACCATACAGTCACAACCTACACATCAGCTAATCACAACCTACATTTGTGTCATTCACAGCATGCACAACAGCCAATGACAACCCACGATAAATCGAATGACAACACGAACAGAAGGCAATTACAACCTATACATACCCAGGTGACAAACCAACACAGTCCATTAACAACCTGCACACAGTACAATAACAACCTTGACACCAGTAAATCACAATCTATACATAAGCAGTTGACAGCGTACATTTCTCCAATTGACAACAGAGTAGTAAATAACAACATACAGAGCAACCAATCACAACCTACACAGCACATTGACAATAAACTAACATCAAAGTAAATGAATCATACCCACA